GAAGTTAAATTGCTCCGAGAGAAGCACCATTAGATCACAAACAAACAACTACAAACAACGTCAAAATCCCGATTTTTTTTTACAAATAACACAGGAGAAAAAGTTACAGAGGAGATTGGGACTTTTTGATGTATGACAAACAGATATGTAAACAAAGAGTTTCTTCTGAAAAGATCTTCCAACTAATAATTTTAATTATTATTTTGGCTGGTGTATACTTTTATAACTGCATGTATTTAAAAATTACCAGAAACACTACTTACCCTCGCCATACGACATCAGTGAAACAATGTATGATATTTTTGATGCTGTGTTTAATACCACTAACCGTCCGCCAGTATTTTGTCAGGTTGTTGAAGCATCGTTCCAGGTACTGTAACACAGACGGAACTCATTGACGTGATAAATGGGGTGCATTGTAGGTTTGTGAAACTGAATTTTAAAATACAAAAATCCTAGTTTAAATTGAAATAATTCCAACGTATGTGATACGATCCTCTACCAGTCTAGGAAAGAATACCCATGCCGCTACGTATTATTCGTTTAATACGCTTTATTCTATTAACAGCTTAATTGATCGAAACCAAAGGTTTTCTTCTGGGAGTTCAACCTAGGAGACCTGCTTCCTTCGTTGCAACATTTGGAATTCCAGTGCGTCCCTCTCTACCGACCTATTAATTCCGTTTATATATGTACTTTCTTACTTCGTATTGTATTAAGTTATTAGATATGTTAACGCTTCTGAATAACTGCTTACATTAATACACTCTTAAAAGTCTGGTTTCTGTTTTCGTTCGTGAGGGTAATCTGATCATCGCGAATTTTTTCCTTAGACATTTGTTGATAATGTTACATATGAGCACTCTACGAAACGCTAAATACGAAACTACGAAAAAATCATCGGCGACAACTCGGATAAAACTAATGGACTAAAAGTCTTACCTGTACTGGAATGCATAACTGTTGAGGTTGGGTCATGCGTAGTAGTTGGCGTGTCCGTAGTAGTTGTAGTTGGCGTGTCCACATTTGTTGTAGTTGGTGTGTTCGTAGTTGTTGTAGTTGGCGTGTCCACAGATGTTGTAGTTGGCGTGACCGTAGTTGTTGTATTTGGCGTGTCCGTAGTTGTTGTAATTGGCGTGTCCACAGATGTTGTAGTTGGCGTGTCCGTAGTTGTTTGATCGTTAGTACCTTCAAAAATATAAGCACATCTGCAAATACAAGGAGGAAATCAGATGTAAAATTCCGTACGCTCTGCTGTAAGGATAATCATGTTGGCTTGAGTGAATGCAAAACATTAGTTAACAGAGCTTAATTACCATTGCTATAGTCCTTATACATACATTATCAGACATAGGTATTATTGGATTACATACCTGGAACCGTGTGACTGATACAGGCAGTGTCATGACTCGTTAACTCCACGCAATCCTCGTCAGTGCTACATGTATCCCTATGACAGCCGCCATTCTGTCAAAAGATGCATTTCTTTAGCAACAAGTTGATGTCATTACCTGAATTCGGCAGAAAGGATATCAATGAATTATATTAAATATTAGCGTTGTCGGGTGGTGCTGTGGATAACGCTCTCGCCTTTCACCAAGGCGAACGGGGTTCGATATTATGAAGTGGGTTTTTGTCAGGATACCCCTCCCCCTCCTACGCGCTAACAAGTTTGGTTAATATCAGTTGAAATAATTTGTAAAAGGTAGGCAGAATTAGAAATAAATAAAACGATTACAAATATTTCAAACGGTGCAGCACATTTGTTTTGGTCGCTTTTGTGTCCCCATGTAGAGGGCACAAAAGGAAATTCACAATTCTATAGGGGGTTCCCGCATTAGTCGCCCTTTCCAATATATATTCAGTCAGAGCATGTGCATTCTTTTCTCGATCCCCGACCTGCAGGGGTGTTACAGTACTATCTTAATAATTACCTGTTCTGATACACCGTCACTCACATCAACAAACAGGGAACCCAGGTACATAATCAAGGTGTTGTTGGCGTTGACTGTCGCCGTGTTTAGTTCGCAGTAAAGATGTTCGTTGTGGTAGTTCACGCTTAGGCACCACGCATTTTTGTTGCATCTTGCCAAGCATTGTTGGTATCCAAACCTCGGTAAGCTCTCTCGAACATAGCCCTCTAGTGCATTGTTGAAATTTGAGACAATAGGTTTGCACGGGTTGATTGATTGTATCAAAACTGAAACATGAAAGATTATAGCTATGAATATATATCACTATATACAACTGTATACAACAAGTGAATTTAAGTAATAACCAAGAGATCCCACAATCGTACTAGCGTTATTGGTTCTATATCCCCCCTGCAGGTGGGGGATCGGTGCGCCGTATGTTTTTTATATCAAAGAAATAATAATAAGGCGCTTGGCATCTATTTTATCCGAAGACAATAAAACTGTAATTATAATAAAATGCTAAAAAAGACATTAGACAGTACCAACCTGATGTTATGCTTAAGATCATCAAATATGCTTCCATATTATCCGCCTCATGCAGTGTGAGTCATACGGTAGACGTAGAGAAACTGAAAGAATGAAGATTTTCGCACTAAAAGAGACCAAGGTCTACACGTACATGTGCTTCCGTTGTCGTTAATTTACTTCTATCACGCAGGTTTTGTTTGCTGTTGTAAGGACGTTCAAACTCAAACAATCAAAGGTAAATCTAGTTTGCATTAATGTCTCATTGATTTCCTCCGAAGCCAGTAAAACATTAATATTGACATATCGGGTCAGTAAGTGTTAAATGATCATTTATGTCATGGCGGTCTTTTGGAGTGTTATTTTTGTCTACACTTAAGGCAAGGTAAAGTCATTTAAAGATGATTTGTTTCGGGTTTTTTTATTGCTTCTCCTGAAAATTGTCATTAGATGTGTCCATATTAAACTGGGCCTTTAAACAACTACGTCACACAAAAATGGCACAACGTATACACGAAAGTGTGACACTTGTACCATATAACATACCAATAGAATAGCAAACTACTACGTTAGTATTGATTCAGTACAGAGACCGTTTATAATAAACAACAACCACCCAATGGGAAAAGACATCGGTGAACAAGTTTTGATTTAGGTTTCATTTTGTTTAGCGTCTTATTAAAAGCTAGGATACAGGGTAAATTGGTGTTTGTGCCGCCTTATGATAGCTCGATTCTGATACCGACTGGATAGTGCTGTCTCACTGAAGTACAAGGCCGAAGGTACCCGTAACAGCATTCCACCCGGTCGCCTTATACTGAAAACGGTTAAACCAATTTTTGCCATTACACTTAATGCTGACATTAAGCGAGGAGTAACAACTACTATTTTAAAGGACTTTGGTATGTTTCGGCCTGGGGATGGAGCCCATTGCATTCTTCGCCTTGGCGAACGCTCAACATTAAAGCCAGGAGTGAGGTATTGCCAAGCAAGTCGCTTGAAAATAAAAGACCCAGATTAGATAGAAGTAGAACAAAAGATTCCAAATGTTGCAATTGGTGCAGCAGATATATTTTGGTCGTTTTTGTGTCCCCAAGAAGAGGGCACAAAAGCAAATCCCCAATTCTGCAGGGGGTTCATTCATTAGTCGCCTCGTGTGATGCATGCAGTGGGTAAAAGCAGGTGTATTGTTTGCTCGATCCCCAACTTGTTGAGCTACAACAACGAGGGAAAAACAGATAATACATCATGAACACTATAACAATTATTGAAGAACCAATAAGAATGGAACAACAATTACAAACTCTGACAATGTGTGTTCGGGAACATAAAAGCAGATATTACAAATTCTCAAAGCAATGTAGCAGAATATGACTTAAACCACACCAATCACTTTTTCATGACAAATTATTAGCATCTTTTTCTTTCAAGACTTAAGTTACACTTATACCTGTACAGTATTGTAGCATCGAGAGGCTGAAGCGTCCTTACGGTCACCAGAAAGAAACAATATTTTAAAACGAAATGCAATTTTATGATGCGAAGATGTTGGGTTAAATAACTTGGTTCAGGTTCATATAAAAAATTCAGTTAAACGTTCATATCGTTTTGCATATGTGACCGATCAGAACACTTAGTCAGGAACACTTACTGGTCATTCCTATGAAGATTTACTGTAAAGCCTTTAGCAAAAAATAATTTTAAATTAGGTTAATGAAATCCCTTTGGTAGTATTTTGGTTTCAGTTCAAAATGAAAATTGTAAGCAAGTGAACGACAGACAACTCAATAGGTCAACCCAGGCCAAAGGCCCAGGTATTTTCACGTAATATCAATTAATGTACCTATGGTCTGTAATATCCTAGAGTTCTTGTTGCATTAAGGTTTACCAATGAAACAAGTTGAATGACTATTTTATAACCTGAAGAATGTTCGCAATCAAGCATTGTGCTTTATCAAAGACCTTGTACAAAGGGTGTTGTTCAGGCTAATCCGTCGGTAATGTCGTTGTATGCCAATCCGTCTAATTAAATATAAAAAATATCCTTTGATATCGGACATCAACTAATCAGTTCATTCAACGCATCGTGTCCACCAGAAGAACAGAGGGAAATCGAATCTTTATTATAGCACAAACATACCTCCAATCCTGTGATATTTAGGAGATAACGTAGACGGTACATAGGTATCTTGTATACTCGTTAAATCAACGGGTTCTGTTTATACTGCGTTCTTATCGACGTTAATCTTTGTGAACTTTATAAAACTACATGTAGCAACGTCCAATGTATCGGGTATTCCAGAAAGACCAAAATCAAAGGTAATCGTGATGCAGAAACAGGATCGATGGAAAGTTAATTAAAAATATGTTATTCTTTTAATTCCTATGATATCACAATAGATGTATCCACGTAATCAATACATTAGTATTAGTGTGGTGTTACATGTTCTGTGTATTTATTGAAACTGATTTAAGCGTCACTTGCTGTATCGTCAAACAACCCATTTTCGTAAAAGGTTCGTAGTTGTCGTAGACACTCCCGGCTTCTTCGATACAAATATGTCGGAGGCTGATATACACACAGAAAAAGTTCGATGCTTAGGACTTTCGTCGCCCGGTCCTCACGCTGTGTTGATAACGATTCCTGTTGATACTCGCCATACAACAGCAGACAAGAAAACCGCTGAGGAGATCTTGAAGATGTTTGGACACAATGTCAAAGATTTCGTTTTGCCAGTGTTTACTAAAGCAGATCAACTTCGGGAAAACTTTGTCACAGAAGAGAAACTTATGCGAGAGTTAGACGGAGATCTGAAACAGGTTATTGAAACGTGTGGAGGGAAATATGTTTTCGTTAACAATAAAGCACAAAACACCGAAAGATCGACGAAAAGAGAGAAGATATTTGCTGAAATCGACAAAATTTCAACGAAACATGAACTTTTCTATCAAAGCAATGAGTACAAGGAGATAGAGCGTCAAATCCTGCAGATTGCAAAAAAAGCCTTCTCTGAATATACAACAAGCCCAGTGGAACGTAGGACCCTGTACAATACAAACAAACAGATCTGATTTCAGGAATGATATACAAATTCAAAAGGGCATCTGGCAAAAATTCCATTCATTTGTTCGTTGCGGTGGCGACATTAGTGAAGAGGCTGTCGATAGTCCGCACGTATAATGTACTGATTGTCCTCTGGAAATACTGTGTGTATGTTTGCTGGAGACAGGTATGTTGGTTTACTTTTCCTCTTTTGATAGCGTGGATCTGATGCTGACTTTATAGTGCTATCTCACTGAAATACCATGCTGAAGGAACCCAGCACAGCATTCTGTCCAGTCACATTATACCGACAACAGATGAACTGGTTGTTGCCATTTCCATTAATGCTGAACGTTGAGCACCATCTAGTTTATTATTTTTATTGTAAAGTGAAGAAATAACAAAACTAACAATGCGGTTTTTCATCCTTTTTAATTTTACAAAGAAACATGGCATAGTAGAATACGTATTTTACTTTACTGCTTTTAGTTGGTTTTCACACAAGATAGGTATGACATAGTACTTTTGTTGAGTCGTTGTTTTTCCGTAACGTTTGATATATATATCCTTTGGGTTTAATGGAAAGGACATGACTGAACTCAAAAAGTATAAGGAGTGAGATAACACCAAAGGTTCTTGCAATTAGATGTGTGTTATTGATTTTCATGGAAGTTTCCAACTGTTCAGTTTACAATATGACGCAAGAGAAAACAAATTACTACAATTGAATCAGTACTTCCGGGTGAATGTATGTCTACACGTGACTGTAACAGGTTACGATATGGGCCTAGATGTGTCTGTGAGCGCTGAGGTAACATCCTACATGCTTTCACGCTCTTGAACTTTAATTCCTTGAATACGCTAACGGGAGTGTTTGTCCTGGTCGGATATAAACACTGTCTCCCTCTTTATTTGTACTAATTAATAAGAAGGAGAGTAACGCGTTAGCAAGAAGTGATTTCTTTAAAAGGTGGCCTCTCTGAAAGCAGGTGCAGTGGTAAGATCAATATTTTTTTCTAAGATTCATTTATACTTGTTATTTTTTAATCATTCAGCTCTTGTCTATAACATTGTTAATAACATTTGATAGGAATAAAAGAAGTTTACAAAGAGGAATTGATTGGAAATTTAAGATATGTGTCAGTGATATATATATAATGACATAAGATCATCCTTATTTCATGTAGCAAATAATATAAGAAATGATTTTGCAAGTCTTAATAACACTGACAAATTTTATTTTATAAATTTATAAAATTCCACTTATACAATATGTACAGAAGACGTAGCAGTCTATGTGATTAATTATAATTTAAACAGTGTCTTGTAAATCATTTTAGGCTGAATATCATATTCAATTACATTTTTATATTTTATGCATTTGTTAAATATGATACCAGGTGTCAATCAGAAACATTTTTTATGAAAATAATCTTCCATTTAAATTATAATTAGCTACTAGTTAGTGTGAATTTAGCAGACGTCGCTGGTAGGGGGCTCCCCAACCCTTGGAAACCTAAATTTGACTACAATGTAGAACTAGGAAATTACTTATTTTATTTATCACCATTGTTATTGGTTTTTTTTGAAGACATCATAATTTAAGGCAGTAAATGTAAAAGAAACCTTTTAACTATTATAGTATTTAATATGTAAGGACCAAATCCAGGAGTTTGTTAGGTAGGGGCTGTCCCAATCACCTGCTCTCTGGATTGGCACATGTGATAGTTTGTTTTAATTTATTAATTTATTATGTTATAGCTGTTCTTAACAAAATCATGATATGGTCTATATATTTTTACATTAAAATGATTGATCCCTGTTATGTAACTATATGTTTTTATACTGTGTAACTATATACTTGTACGATGTAATTGTGATATATGACACTATAATAAACAAAATTGACTTGACTTGACTATATGAGAAAACAAGAGATCCAAGAGGGGTGGTGATATGGTTTGGTTTTTATTAGGTTTAACGAGATTTTATTAACTAAGATAATTTATGAAAGTGCCTCCATGTGTGTAATGGATGTGTGTGTGTGTGTGCTGATGGAAGGGTATGTTGGTAGATTGATCCACACTCGTCGTTTACTTTATCTGTTAGACTAAGTCATACAAACATTATATGCACTTTTGATAAGATCTTCATGCTGCTGTGTATGAGATTGATCTTTCGAAGTGAGATTGTCGTTTTACCTACATGTTAAATCTGTGAAAGGAAAATAACCACTGACCACTTTATAATACTCATTATGGTGAGCTAAAAACTAGCATTTCTTTGTTTCAAAACCAATATAACTGTTTGTACATTTTTTGAAGAAAATGGGTCATTTGACATTATTTTCATTTATTCTGAACATGGACTCAATATACCTACGAAACATTTTAAAAGTATTTTTTTTCAATGAACTTTTCAGTTGGCGTATGGATACATCAACATAGTATCAACCTGATTACTCTGTTATTCCGCTGAGCGCGGGAAGTAATTCTTTTAATGGATTGTTAGTTTTTTTGCCACTGGTTTTTAATTGAATTAAAGAAATCTAAATTGAATCTAACATTTTATTTATTTTACGTTGTAATCAATGCAAGCACGTTATTCCTCTAACCGGGAGAAGGTATTACAGTGAGTGATGACATCATACGCTTCGGAACCTTCTGTTATGTTAGTCTTTCACAAGACAGATATTTTAAAAATTATCCAAAAAATATCAATATAACACTGAATGTAAATATAAGGATAGAATCCTGTTTTGTTGAGGTATATAGGGTATAAACCTCAATGGGTCTTGCGAAAAAATCAATATGGACTGCTTCATTAGGAAAATCGTTCATAGATGCTGGATTCGTCATTCATGAGTTCTACTTAAGTAGGAAACATTTATTACGTAGTCATTGCATAATTGTCAGTAGTTTCAGGAATACTTTTTTTTGCATATGACAAACAGGAGAGACATTCTTTTTATTCTACCTGGTTTATACACTAAGTATGTAAATTATCTCCCTTGAAATGTCTAGGTTGTTACCATCTACCTTCAATGTCACAAACCCGATATACACTTACCTTTGTATGTCTTCATTGTTTGTTCTCCAGTTGATACTTTTTACAGTTTCTATTGTAGTTTTCTGATATGTCCTCCAGTAGTCTTATCCAGCTATACTACCATATTTGAACACATTATACAATATTTGAGCTAGAAAGTAAATTGATTCTGGAGTAAGGTTACTGGAACAACACATCATTTATATATGTATCGTCATCATTCATCTTATTTGATTGGTTGATGTCTAGCGTCCTCGTCATAGCTGGTGTCATGGGAGGACGGGTTTCCTGAGAGACAACGCTGGAAAGGGAAGGTAGGTAAGAAAGAAACTAGACAGGAAGAAAGAAAACGAAAAAAATCACATGTGTTGCAACGAGAGCAGCAGGTCAATGTTGGTATTTTCATGTCCTGTTCGTAAAACATTTATTTCTAAATAATGATTTCATTTATGTTCTTTGAATTCGAACAAACCTGTTGCGATACAAAAGGCTACACTCAATATCACCTATCAAATACATACACATCATACGTCGTTTCAGTGTTAGATTTCATTGACAAATATGTACACTAACGTTTGACTGTGACATCTTCATCGTTTTTCAACGTTAAAGTCATGATGTGCTAGAAGACTGGGGTTCGAGCCTAGGCGCCAGGGATATGTTTTGTCGATCTTCTAACTACAGTCTTAAAATAACTACTGACCCTGTTTTCTCGGTCAGCCATTAATAAGATTATCGGTACTCCGCGAAAGAATTGTTGCTTTTTGCTTAACAAATACAATATTTCGAAGGATCACTGTTGATGACCTAAAAGGATCTTTGTCTTTAGGATGTTACTGTGCTGTAAGTATCGGAACCGATAGATTAGGTAACGATCTCGTATCACGTACCTTGGTTTTACAAAGTAACAAAGGTATTGACATGAGAATACTTCAACCATCCTTTACTAAATCTCTAGTTATAGATGTTTTTAAGTCTAACGTTATAACAGCTATAAATGTTTCAAAATGGTTCATTTTTTATGATATTGTTTTACCCTTCCCCCAACTAAAACACAAAAACATAGCAGCTGAGGTTATTTAATGATGTAGCGAGGATATTAATACCCTTAATGAAGACAAAACATAACAGCATCTAAGGATTGTGAAATGCATGTGTGTATTTGTGTATGTCTATTAGAAGCGCCATATTGGTGTATTTGCTTCCTTACAATTGGCGATATAAAGAGTACTACTGCACTGAATAACAGGCTTCATATGATTGAATGCAGCTATCACTTGCTCAATTATATATATCAAATACAACGTGCTAAGATAATTGTTAAAGCTATCGCTGCTTTGATGATTTTGTACCTGTCGTTTTTCATTGAATTGTTAATCATTGACCGGCTTTCTTTAGAACACAATATTCTATTGTCTGCACTGAGCTGTCGTTAACAAACCATTCATCAAATAGTCCGCGAAATTCGATTGGATATATTTACCATACTTGGAAATGTATACATTAAACAACAAACATAATATCAATTTAAACAAGCTTTATAAACAATTCAATACAAAATTTATTATATGCAGAGAAACAACCCTGGTTAAACACACAAGAAAAATAAGTTATTACTTACCAGGATGTTTGGTTCCATCTTTTGTTTGTTTGTTTGTTTGATTTTGTTTAACGTCCTATTAACAGCTAAGGTCATTTAAGGACGGCCTCCCCTGTGTGCAAGATGCATGAGTGTAGTGTATGTGTGTGTAGTTTGGGAGGCTGCGATATGTTCGTGTTTGTCTTCTTGTAATAGCGCGGAACTGATGCCGACTTTATAGTGCTACCTCACTGAAACATACTGCCGAAGACACCCAGCAGGACGCCCCACCCGGTCACATTATACTGACAACGGGCGAACCAGTCGTCCCACTCCTAATTTGCTGAGCGTTAAGCAGGAGTAGAAACTGCCATTTTTAAAGACTTTGGTATGTCTCGGCCA